TAACCACTTGGCACAGAATTATACTGTGTTACAATGAATAATAAATATACCGTTATATAACAATAACCGTATCGATCCGAATTCTGGAAAACTCAATGACACAATTTCTCCATAAAATAATATCCTTCCATTCTTGAAAACTCATGAACATTGCATAGCTTTGAATTACTTTATAAAACTTTAATTAGCGTATTTCAATATTTATGCATTTTATATATATATATATATACATGTGTGTATATGTATATATATACCTGCAATCCCAAACTATTGGCAGACGGACGTAAACAAAGAAAAAGAGTGAAGTAACAAAGCTGCTGCTGCTGTTTTGATTAGTAAGTAGTGCAAATGCTGCTGGGAACGCGTATTAATTTCGGAGCTCATGTCTACACAATAGTGAAAGCGCACAAGCGTAAGTAGCTGGTGCACGATATACAACAACAACAACGTCGTTGTCGTTGTCGTCGTCATGGCAGGTTCCAAGGGAAGCGGAGTTTTAAGCTTGCGCTTCAACCAAGACCAAGGTATGATGTACCTGTTAACTCGCTCGTACCTATCTCCACTAGCTCTGACTCTGACACCCTGCCCAGAGACTCGAGCTTATGATTTCTTATTTCTTCCCATTGTCGTTGACCCCTTCAGGATGCTTTGTCTGCTGCATGGAGTCTGGACTACGGATTTACAACGTCGAACCTTTGGTCGAGAAGGCACACTACGACAGCGAGTTCATGGGCAGCGTTGGCATGGCCGAGATGCTCTGGAGGACGAACGTCATCGCCGTCGTCGGTGGTGGAAGTAGGCCCAAGTTTGCCGACAACACGGTACTCATATACAACGATCTAACGAAGAACTTTGCCGTCGACATCAATTTCACCCAGCCTGTCAAAGCTGTCCGATTACGCAAGGATAAGTACGTCGATTTTACTTGTTCGGTATTACTTAGCAGGGATATACATATATTGAGTCACTGATTCTTAAATCTGTACTTATAGACTGGTGGTGGCCCTGGAAAGGGAGATCCACGTGTTCTCTTTCCCTTCGCCGATACACAGATTGCTCTCTGTGCAAACGAGATACAATCCAAAGGGTCTTGTGGAAGTGGCGACACTTACTTCCGCGCACAAGCAGCTGCTTGCATTCCCTGGTCACAAGATTGGCAGTCTCCAGTTGCTCGATCTTGCGTCAACGGACGCTGGAGCATCGAGTGCACCGGCAACCATTGCTGCTCACGTTGTTAGTATAATATTTGGTTTTGGGCCAATGTTCAAGTGACAGTTGTGTTTAAATTAAATTTATCGATGTCTATAGGGTGAATTAGCTTGCATCGCTGTAAACAGCAACGGTACCAAAGTTGCAACTGCGTCGGAAACAGGCACTCTTATCCGAGTCTGGGATGCTATTCGTAGGACACAACTGATAGAACTCCGGAGAGGTACCGATCAAGCTACGTTGTATTGGTGAGCAATGATTTTTAATGAGTTTTAATTATCTATTGAAAGTTTTAATCGCAATTTTTTTCATTTTACAGCATTAACTTTAGTCGTGACAGTGAATTTTTATGTGCTTCTAGTGATAAGGGCACAATTCATATATTCGCTATAAAAGCTGCAAATTTGAACAAAAAATATCAGTGAGTATTCAAACACTATTTGTTTTTGTAATCTTGCGAGTCACGTGAGAGTATACCATATGTTGTATATACCATTTCAGGATAAGCAAGTATACCAATTTCTTGGGACAGTATATGGAAAGTAAATATTCGTTTGCCATGTTTACTGTACCTCCAGAATGTGCCTGCATTTGTGCTTTTGGTACCCAAAATTCTGTAATAGGTAAACTAACAGAGACATTCAAGTTTTATACTATTATCAAGTTTATTTTACTGAACAATTTTATCTTAATGGATAACTTGTTGTTTACAGCGGCTTGTGTTGACGGCACATTTCACAAATACGTTTTCACAACAGAAGGTCAGTGCAATCGTGAATCATTTGACGTGTACCTTGATGTTTGTGCTGATGAGGAATATTAATGTAACAAAGTATATTGTAAATAGTTAACAATGTAAATATTTATTATGAAAACACGGAGAGAATTATTGTTTTATACAGACATGATTTTATACATAAGCTTAGAATAAATATTGTAAAATAAAAGATGTAAATGTATATTTCGGGTTTAGTTTTATAAAAATATCACCACAATTATAAAGTATTAACTAAAACGATTTTGGTCTCAGTTGGTGTCCAGTGTGTTCTCTTATTTGTTCTGAAACAGTAAATTAGAATCATTAAATAAGTCCAGGTTGGTTACATGCACTAAAATATTTCATACTGTAATGACTTGAGTCCATGAAAGGCTGAATTGCAGTGAAATAAAATGGGGTCAATACTGCACCAACAAATCCTCCAATAAACATTGCAAACCTCCAGCCTTTAAGCTTCTGACTAGCCATTTCTAAAAAATTACATCAGTAAATCGATTCACTATCGTTACATAATTTTTAATTATAATTTTCATGAAGTTAATACGTTGTGTCTATGTGTTTTTGCACTAAAAATGTTTTTTCCATACAATTAATAACTTTTAATAAACACTAATGTATAATACTTAGTTGCCGTTACTTTCATTGAAACTCAATAACAATTATAATTACATTTTTCCAGTAAGGACATACATTAATAATAATTTTCTCATAAGCTAGACTTTTCTGCTCTTTAAAGATAACTAACTTAACCTGCACCTGCAGTTCTGATCAATGCTGTAGTGTATATGTGTACCGATGTACCTATATACTGACGTTCACGTTTTTTTGCTTCGAGCTTCGGGCGTGATCGGGCTTTGTCGGCAGCCTTCGCTCTCGTGTGAATTTTAATCAGCGCCATCTAGCGTGCGATTTTTCTCGTCGCTCATAGACCCTACTGACGTTTTTATATTTCCGTTGACGAAGAAAAGCACAACCCAGATTTTGCCATTCAAAGTGACATGGAGAAATCTGATTTGAGCTTTTTTTCATCCGCCGGCAAACTGGCCAAATTGGACGGCCCGGTTACCCTACGGACGTTTTTTTACTTTGACATAAGTACAAGAGCGCAGGCCACGGACGAAGTCCGATCACACCCGAAGCAAAAAAACGTCCGTAGGGTATCCGGGCCGTCCAATATAGCCAGTTTGTAGGTGGATGAAAAAAAGCTCAACTCAGATTTCTCCATCTCACTTTGAACGGCAAAATCTGGGTTGTGCTTTTCTTCGTCAACGGAAATATAAAAACGTCAGTCGGGGTCTATAAATCGCACGCTAGATGGCGCTGATTAAAATTCATACGAGAGCGAAGGCTGCCGACAAAGCCCGATCACCCCCGAAGCAAAAAAAACGTCAGGATATAATATATAGGATAGGGTCTCGGAGCTCGGAGCTCGGAATATACCTGATACATACTACTGATACTACTGTATTTCGTGGCTGTGCCTATATGACTCTATGATGCCTTCTGCGAATGTGTGGTGAACTTGAGAGATTTATGTGAGGTTAAATACACAATTGTAGGTGATATATGTGTCAATTTTGATGTTTATAGTCGTGCAACAGATATAATTCATAAATACCTTTGATGGACTTAATTTGTCAAAATTTTTGATCAATTACTTTTTGGTCACAAGTTTTTTTTTTCGTAATCAAATGGTGATTATTCGAGCATACGTAAGGTTATGTTTAGTAAAAGGGTAACATCGTTTGTTTTTCAAAACAATGTAATCACTTCAATTTTTCCATTTAAAATAATTACGTGAATTTTGAGTTAGTCGAGCATACATGTTAGCAAGTTTTTTGCTATGAAGAATTTTTTTGTTGGTTTGTAATTCAAAGTAATTATTTTTCATTGTTTCATTATTGTAGTAAGAATTTAGTTATGAAAATGACAGTTGTTTTATGGACTCTATGATCTTTAAAATTCATACAGTTATTTATTTTTTAGCTAAAGCTAAAATATGAAAAGATACCGGCGAATCAACCATGTTCCTGAAATTTTTCTGGACAAGTGATGCTTTAAAAAAAAGGACTCAAAATATTTGTTGTGATGACGTTAAGAGTAAAATTAAAATTCAAAGACTAGAAAAATTACATCATGATCAAGATAATCCGAGATGGTAGTACGATTTTAAAACATCACGCAACAGTCCAATAGAAAAAGGAATTCGAATGAAAATAAGGAAAGTAAAAATTATGCAATCATGGAGGACAAAGCTGCTGGTGATGTAAAAATCAATGGTATTGAGCAAAATAGTAGGGTATCTTCGAAAGAATTCATAGATGAAAAAAATAATTGTGAACTCTTGGGAACACCGGGTAATTCAAATTACTGGTGGCCCAGCGAAGTTGAAGAGAAGCTTGGATCAAGGCAAAGATGGAGTTTTGGCTCAGACATATCAGTAGAGGCAGTGGAGAACATTCAAAGTAGATTGTGCTGTTCTCCAGTTGATGAGTTTGATTCAACTGTTAGCAGTGAGACTGAAGACTTGATAGTGAATAACACGGATGAAGGGTCTGAGGCTTACAAACCCTGTGTTCAGATATCTCCAGCTTGTTCACCAACTATTAAAAATGCCATTTGCAACATCACTGATAAAAGGCTGAGGAAACCCCATGAGGTTTATACAGATGATGACGAGTTGGTTGATTACTCAAAAAGATACACTACAGATAATTTTGCACTATTGGTTGACAACAAGTCCATCGATCTGCGTGCTCAGCAACAGCAGCAACAGAGGAGGATGGGAATGAACAATATTAACAGACCTGTGTCGCAAAAGAAATCAGTAAGTACCAGATCCAAGGGAGGTTATAATTTTGGTGATTACGCGGAAACGGATTTGGATCAGCCTACCGATTATAGCTTACGCTATGCCGAAGAAGATATGTACGAAGAAGACGAAGAGGATTCTCGATTTTACGTAAGTTTGAACTGTTGCTTGTAAAATTTTTTGAAATCATGTTTGGTACAAGTCACCGTCTGTCAAATTCAAATTATGTTAATTGCAGTGTTCTGATCAACCGGAAGAAGACGTAGTGAGAACGTATTACACTGAAGGGACGCCTTCTAATTTTTCAACCGCCACATCCGTGTCTGATCTCCTAACACTCGAGAGCCCTAGAGAGGGCGACGAAGCAGCTTACAAACACCAGCAGTTCTTACAAGATCAAAAAGAAAATGTCCACGAAAAGTCTGAAAAAGCTGCAAAAGACTGTAAAAATAGGATTCGACAAAAATTCGCGTCCAATGCTGCAAAAATTCCAGCACTGGAGGAACCGCCACGAGAAGTAGGTAATCATCAACTTGTCCACAGAAAACTAGAAAAAACGTGCACCCCACCGCAGTCACCAGCTGAAGTTTGCGACAGAAGTAATAAAGAAGGCAAAGCTGTGTCTTTCATCGTCGAGGAAAATAATTACGCCCAGGAAACGCCTCTAATGTTCTCGCGCAGCAGTTCTTTGGATTCGCTTAGCGAGTTCGAGCAGGAATCGATACAAGATGATCGCAGTTCCATCGTCAGTGACTTTAGCCACAGAACAAGCGGTGCCGTGTCACCAAGTGATTTGCCAGACTCGCCCACGCAGACGGTACCGCCGAGTCCTCGTCGATTAGAGCGACAAAGTTTCTCCGGTTTGCAGCAACAAGAGCAGCCTCATCTACAACGATTGGCACAGCCTCGTAGAATTGAAAGGGCAAATGTTCCGAGCTTGCAGCCACCACCACCACATCAGCAGCGACAGTTACAGCATCAATCTCGGCTTCAGGCTCAACCATTGCCACCGACTCAATCTCAGCTTCAGCCAAGAGCGCTAATCGGGTAAATATTTTCACAACTTCGTGTACGCGTTCTTTATCATGCAATTTTTCAACTCTACATTTTCCATTTTTAAAGGCCTGTATCGAGAAATCCATCAGGAATAAAGCAAACGCCCAACAACGATCACATGCCTGTACAAGAGCAGCACCAACATTCACAGAGTGATATGCGTGTTCCGTTATTGCAACGCTCACCAGCTCAAGAAAATCAAATACCACTGCAATTGAACAATCGCATAGTTCTCATGCAACGTCCCCAACCCGAAGGGCAAGCATCTCTGGCACGACGTCCCCAAAACGACAGTTCTGTGCCACAACATCTAAAAGCCAATACCCGCATGCCAGTTGTGCAGCGTCAGCAGACTGAAAATCGCGATCCAGTAATGATGCAGCGGCCTCAGATGGTCAGGACGGCCAGTCCAGTTGTGCAACATCAGCCCTTACCTCGAGAGCCACAATTACCTCGCCATATTCTAGAGCGCTGCATTAGCGTTTTCGAGGACAATCTTGTGAGGTTTAAGGACGAGTCGACGCAGAGTAAATTTTCAACCGCAGGTAGTTGCTTGAGTTCCCTGACTATCGACGACGAAGATGACAATGTCAGCATTGACAATCGAGAGATCATCAATAGGATCGCGGCTATTAGGGTGAGATCGAGTGCCGCAGGTATGCACCAGGCACCGTGCATGCAGAGACAGTTTGACAATAAAAGTGCGGACAAGGTGGACGATCGACAGCCCCAGCTGAACGTTTTAAATCGACATCCGGGTAAGCATCGTAAAGACGAAGTGAAATTTATTGTTTACAAAATAGCATTACTCAAATTGATTAACTTTCAGGTCACATGAATGAGGGCTCACATCCATCGCCCAGCAAAGAAGAGCTGCAGCACTACGTTAACGTGGAAAACGAGAGTTACGATTATACAACCTGCTACTTGAACAAGGAAGTGAACGACAACCGCCACCGAGATTCTTCAAATGAGATGTGGTACCACGAGAACGACTTGAAAAACGAAGCAAATAATCATAGACCCAGCGCCAAAAGCCCAATCTGGAAGCACAACGGCAACGACGACATTATTTACCATCTGCAGAAAGTCCATAAAGTCCCTGAGATCGTGTTTGTCGACACTGTGCATACGTATTACACCGAGGATACGCCAGTCTTCGTATCGCCTTACGGCTCTGAGTCGAATCTCTCTGGGTTGTCATCGCTGAGTATATCTGACGATGATTTCGGCTACGACTTCATCAGAGATGAGCGATCTCTAAGATCGCCCCGTGTCGAGGAGGCCGAGCGCTCCAACAGTCGAGCCGACAGCTACGGGTCAGAAGAGGACTCGAGCGAGTCCGAGGACGAGGACAAAAATTCGTCCGTGGTGGCGCGACGGCGTATCGACGTGTCGCCCTTTGAATCGCAAATGAATCTCAACTTCTCTCTGCTTTGCATCGAAGAGGAGGACGAAGAGGCGGCAGAGCGAGAGACGGAGGCTGAAGAGAGAACAAATAATGAGACTGACAAATCGTATAGGGAAGAGTCGGCTGCGAGCGACGATTACTACAGGCGGCTGAGCCGGAACTCCGACTGCTCGGATGACGACGACGAGGAAGAGCGCCAGGTGCTTGAGCAGTGCATCAAGTCAGGCGTGTCGAAGGTCACGCGGCGTTCTCTCGAGCCCAGGCCCATTCCATGACCCGTGCCGGTTACTGCTGTTATCGATTAAGGGCGCGCATAAAATGGATTGTTCCTTTCTACGTCGATCGACCGACTGTCCGACTGATTCTCTGTAATTGAATCTTTCGAACGAGTGATTTCTAGAGTAGAGCTGAAGCGCCCTATCCGAACTGATAGCCGGTGCTTGAATCATGTTGTGCCTATAGATTACACGAAATCTAACAACGTTATTATATTTAAAAGTATAGATATCACGCGAATTATAAATAACGTGATTCTATTACGATTTTTGAGCCTAGATAGTTTAATTAGGTATAAAAATCTTGTACCTAGCTATATAAACGTTACATCATTTGAATTTTTAATATTTTTATGCAACTTGGATAAACAACTTTAAGTCTCGTTGTATTATTGCAATCAATTAACTATATATCGATACGCAGATTTTATATTAAAAATGATATTTAATTTTTTTCTTCTTTTACTCAATCTCAACTATTTTTATATGCTAAAGTATACACTAGTTACAATTCATTCGTTTTCAAAAAATAAATGAATCATGTATCAAACGTATATACCGTTGAAGAACGCTATATTCATCGTTATTCGACATTAAGAAACGGCTTCCCTTTGTTGCATCTGTTAGTATTTATACAATTGTTTTTATAAATAAGAAATAAGAGATTTGTTGACGATTAAACCATCGCTATTTGATCAATAAGTAACAGATTTAGGAGCTGTTCTGCTCGGCAAATCGACCTGATATAACCAATTTTCATGTTTATGTCGACCATTTATTTATTTTAAACTGTAATAGACGCGCGACTTACAGGAAAGCCCATCAGCCTTTTATTGTAAAAACAAAACAGATTATGCATTTTACAGTAAAATAAATTTAATTTTTATATGTACATTGAGGGTATGCTTCTATTTTTGTTTAACAACTTAGTCTAAACATCTATTGTCCAAAAACTATTGGATCCTTCCATTCCTATACACATAAAAACTGCTTTGAAACTCTGAAATTTATTATCGTTTTAACGCCAAGTTTTTCTCCACAATTATCCAGAAAATACAATAATTGAGGTGCTTGAAATTTTTTAACATTTCATCAGCAAAGCATTTAATTAACTAATAATATTTACTGTCTCCGTTTTTGACTAGTTAAAATTTTGCTCTTCAACTATGCAATCCCCAGAGGTTTTGCAGGAGTGTACAGGGCACTGAAACAATTACCAATGCCATGCAATGGCACTTATGTATTAGTTAAACTTTGTTGAGGGGAATGCTTCAAAATTAAATTATTACACTTCTCATAGAGGTAAGTAGATTTGAAACTTCCCGCTCGACCAATTGCAAAAGCTCTTCGCGAGCCTCCGCGTGCAAGTATGGCAGGGGAGAGAGATGACTGAGATGAGAAGTGTGATCGGAGTCATCGGAGGAGGTCGTCGTCGCAGAGAAAGCTAGTTGGGAGTTGGGGTCGTGGCGGCTGGATGGCTGGACCGAGACGGGAGTCAACAAGTGATGGTAGTACTACTTATACACTTCATCCTGGTCGACTCTGCTCATATTTATTGATGCTGATACAAAGTTGGTAGTGCACTTGATAGTGATACATTATCATTGTTGTAACAGAGAGAGCGATGTGTGCAAGGAGGACTAATCGAGATAAAAATAAAAGGAGGAAGCAGGAAAAAAAATTATTTGTATATAAATACACACACGGCTAAGAGTCAAGTGTGAGCCGTGAGGGTCAGTGAGAGAGTGTGTAAATAGCGTGTCGTGCCGCGTGCGGCGTGACTGCGTGAGTGTTTTGACCTGTTAAAGTGTTTGTGCTGGTGCGGGTACGAGAAAAAAATACAGAAATTGTTTGTCAGCGCGAGCGGTTTTTCTGTCGGTGATGCCACTGTAGGAGCAGCTCCTCTTTTAAACATGTGTTCTGAAATTCAAGAAAAATATATGATACACCTATACCAAATTTGAGAGGAAGAGAGCAGCCCTGTTGCTCCAAAGACGCTATTCATCATCATCGTCATGACATATATGCGGACGACAGCTGATCTCTCTGCCGTCTAAGGAGTAAGTGCTAGATGAGCTTCTGTCAATACATCTTCTTCGTAAATTGCCAAACAGATGTATAAAGTACCTGTATCGAGAAGTGCTTAGATCCACTGTTCCTCTATCAGCAATTAATTAGTATAGCAGCAGCATTTATTCGTCCTTGACCTTCAGCACAGCTTTGGTTTATGATGTCAATACACCAATAATAACAACGACAATAGTTATATTTTATAGTCAATCAGGCCTTCAAAACTCGATGACTGTCAAGATTAACCAAGACGCTCGGCTCTGCCGTCGTCGTCGTCCTCGTCAGCAGCAACTGCAACTTAACTGTGGTTTTTATTGCTGCTGCTGCTTCAACAGCTCCAGCAGCGGTATTGCTAAAAGACTGTTTATCAGCAAATTTTCGAATCTCCAGAAAAAACAAGCAACAGCGACGATTCATTGGTCGTCCAGAGTGCATCATCGCTAGAGAGATTCGCGATATGGCCAAGAGAGCACTTAGCAGCCGAAGAAACGACTCCTGTGACTGATTTTCGTGTTCGGAGGAGCTGATATATCGGCTCTTGGTTGAGGCAAGATGACCCTACCGGTGGCTCGCAAACGCAACTCCTCCGTTAGCTTTACGCGGGGCAAGGATGCCGAGAGTAACGAGGCTATTGACGAGATACACATGTCTCTGGCACCGGCTTACATACAGAACTATCTCGCGCATAGTGGACAGGGTCTGGGATGCTGTGGTATACGGCTACCTGTACCCTTTGAAAGAGCTGCACCTAGATCCTGGTGGAATCCCAAGTTCGACTCGGAAATTCTTGAGGGCCAGTACAAGTGCAGTGCGTTTCCACAGATTAGACTTAGGTTTAGGTAAGAATGCTGGGGGAGTCTTTTTTTTGTAAATAGCAGCATTTCAAACTATTACAAGTTCTCTGTGGCCAAGGTTTGAAATGTGATTTTTAGTTTATAGGTTTGGTGAAACTACGACTGAATCATTTGTCTAGATTTAGTTTCTTTTTGTGTTGATAGAAAAAAAAAAAAAAAAAAAAAAACATCATCTCATGAAACAAAAAAAGACGTAAAATTTCTTTGCTTCAAATGGGCGTTTTAGTTTAAAATCATATTTCAAAGCTTCCATTGAAATGAAACACCTGTCACATGGAATACTGTATATTAACGACTGCTCGATTGTTGTTTTAATTCACGTGCATGAACTCTTTTTTCCAGATACGCGCTCACTTACATACTGTTAATATCAGTTTCATGGCTGACTTACTTTATTATCCTTGGAATTGAGAACAACAGCAAATTTTGGCCACCTATAGCAGTTATGTTTACCACTGTGGGCTTGATAGTCTCAGCGATACTTTACCTAACTCACACAGATAAATACAGAACTTTTACTGTCGTGCCTATATCCGTGGGTGTTGCCTTGCTGCTTTGTTTTTTATCAATACTCCTGCTGGTCTTCGTGCCGCCTAACGAAGACGGCCTAACTTTGGTGAGTTACTTCTTTTTATTAGAATCAAACGGAGCTACGAGAAAAAATCAACAAGTTGGCTATTTTTAGATTCACTTTCAGCCTTTTTTTTTTTTTTTTTTTTTTCTCTAATTGATGCCGGCTGCCGATCGCACGTTCGCATGATTAATGTGACTCGTGACGGTATGTCTTGCACACGCTCTCGGTATATGAGATGGAAATGAGCTCTGATTGAGCGCTCGTGTATTACGTACGCGCGTTTGTGCTTCATATAAATTGATATCGTTACGCCAAATTACCAGCGTGTAACATGTTTGGGAATCGGTGGCGGTGCAGATGATGATTGTCCGCGAGACGAGGTATTTGAAAAATGCCCGTAGCTCGTTAAGCTTTTGAGAGATCCAACAAAATGTATAATAACAAACCACATTATAAGGCCAGTGCACATATAGTTAACAATGATCCAGCCGTGGAGATATCGATTGCTGGCTTTGGGTATAGAGAGAAAAAAAGAGTATTATTCGGGTTATTTAATTAGGTCTTATCGAGCAACTGGAGCGAGCTTAGTTGGAAAATATTAACCCGAGCCGTGTGTACATATACGTTGTCTTATCGAGAGTCCAATAAACATTGTATTGCGAGTGTATGTGTGTATCAGAGGGCTGTATACCACGGGGGTATCATCTATCTCCCGCGTCTCGCATTTCTGCCGGCTGGCCGCTTTAAATTAATACCGATGCCGGGTTATCCATCAAACCGTTTGGCTGTCTGTTACGTAAAGCGGAGCATTGGAAAAATACATTTCCTCGATATGATTTTTTTTTTTTTTTTTTTTTTTTTTTTTTTTNTTCCTTTTTTTTTTTTTTTTTTTTTACACACGCTTCTTAAATATTTTGTGAAACCTTTCATCTTTTGTTCCATCAAATGAGCGGCATCATTTTCTTTATTGATTCTTGGATAGCTATTTTTAAACCATTCATTTTTCATTTTTTTAACCCACGATTCTCTTTGATCATCAGCAAGCAAGAAGTTCCAATTTCAACTTTCGTGTTGGACAATTGTTGTATTACGCAAAAGCTCAATGAGCACAATTACTAACTATAACACCATGTGCACCCTATAATGCAAAACATCCTATTATATTTCAGGTTGGCCACTTTGCGCTATGCTCGGAAATCCTGCTACTGATATACACGGTCTTGCCAATGCCGCTGTACGCGTGCACGCTAATATGCACGCTGTACTCGTTCCTCTTCGAGTTCCTCACTGCCTACCTCTATGGCTTGGCAACTGCCAGGCGCGAGCCCATGTACCACGAGGTTGGAACAACGCCAGACACCAGCAGACTCCGAAGACTCGTCAACGAGACCTACTCGTTTGCCAGCCGAATACCCAAAGTCCTACCAATGCTCATGTCCAGCTCGAACGAGACAGCTCCAAGCGATCGCCTCTTGAATGCCAGCGAGAGCCGTCACGCCGAGGACATGGACTTTGCGACCACTTTAACCATACGGATCCTCATGCAGCTCTGCATACACGTAATCGGCGTGCATATCCTAATAATGACGTTTGTGCGGATGCGAGGGACCTTCATGAAAGTCGGACAGTCGCTTCTTGTGCGCCGTCAGCTCGAGATGGAGAAGCACCTCAAGGAGAAGATGATACACTCGGTGATGCCACCCAAGCTCTCGGATTGGCTGATGGAAGAGAGCGAGCGGGAACGCGAGCGCGAGGACTCGCTGAAGAAGGGCTCGATACCCTCCAACAACACCGACATACGCTCGCTCTTTCGGCCCTTCAACATGCACTCGATGAACGACGTCAGTATACTGTTCGCGGATATCGTGGGCTTTACCAAGATGAGTAGTAATAAGACGGCCGAGGAGCTCGTTGGGATACTGAACGATCTGTTCGAGAGGTTCGACGAGCTGTGCGAGCAACACGGCTGCGAAAAAATATCCACCCTGGGCGATTGCTACTACTGCGTGAGCGGCTGCCCGGAGCCGAGACTCGATCACGCCAAGTGTTGCGTCGAAATGGGCCTTGGTACGTTTTTCAGCTGAGAATTGCTTTTTTTGTGATAATTTTTCTCATATTTTGCGCGCATCGACTTTTATTATGCTTTAGGAACAAACGCGTGCGTCAAAGCTTTGGTGAAACAGTGATATACCTATACGCATGTTTGCATATAAATGTACTAATTGCGTCAACGTAGAATAATAGCTCGGTCGGCTTTTCTTGAAACTCGTAAGCGGCGCGTCAAACCGACACTCTGAAGTGCATTATTTTTATTTAAAAGTGCGGTTTTGCGATAACGATCACTTTTGCTCTGTGGATCGAGCGCTGATGAAAAAAAAAAAAAATTCTATTTGGAGCTTGTTTGGGATGCCTCTTCCTTTCCATGATAAATAATTCCCGAACGATCGGCAAATCTGGTGTATTTATGTATGTACGCCCTATTTTTTTCAAGATAAAAGAAATATGTTTGCAAACCTAATAATAGCACCATCTCGCGAAGGTTTCACGTTTTTATTATCTTTGCGTGAATTAGCTTGCTCGTATAATACGGTGTATACAAGAGACTGCTCGTGCGTCTTCGTGAAGAGAGCAGCTGATAAAAAAAAAAAAAAAAAATGATGAATAAAAAAAGTAAAAACTGCTTTGTTTGCGTCAGTTGAAAGCAAAAAGTCGAAACCCTAATTTTTGTCCGTACATCCGATGACATATATAACCGATGCTTAAATTGCACTCCATCAATTAGAGCTCTTTGGAAGCAAAAGCTCGTGAAAATATGAGTTTTCACATCTCTCACACAGTTGCTCTTTTGTTTTTCTAGCAATGATAGAGGCGATCAAGCAATTTGACGTCGAGCGTCGCGAGGGCGTCAACATGCGCGTAGGCGTGCACACTGGCACCGTACTGTGCGGCATCGTCGGGACGAAGCGGTTCAAGTTCGACGTGTGGTCGAACGATGTCACCCTGGCGAACAAGCTCGAGAGCACCGGCAAGCCGGGCAGGGTTCACCTCAGCGAGAAAACACTGAGCTTCCTCGCCGACCAGTACCTCACAGAAGAGGGTGAACTTGTCAATGGTGAATACTCCCCTCGATTTGCATTTGCTTTTATGTTTCATTTGATTGTTCGTTAAGACATTTCGCGATGAATCAGCTCGATCGCTTATCTCGACAATGTGTGCTTGGCAAGCAACAGGGTAGCACATTGCACGCGAGCTGAGAACAGCGTTACGTAAATTTATGTGTACCTGGTATTTCCCGTCGCTACTTTTATATACCTACATACATATATTCTATCTTTTTCTCTGCAACACCGGCGTGTTGTGTGTTTGTCTTTTGTCGCGAACGCTGCTGCTGTCCTTATGATAATTGCGAGTATATCTTTTCTGTCTTTTTTTTTTTTTTTTTTTTATTTCTCTTCATGCTCGTGTGAATGCTTAATTTAAAACTCGAGTTTTACATGCACTGCAGTTTATTGCTTTAAGAAGGATGTGCCAATTGAATTACAAACTGTTGCAAGCTTTCGTTGCTCAGTGTTTACTTGTTTCCATTATGCAAAACATTTTATAAATTCTTGATGAATAAATTGTCATAAATAAACGAGGAAGAGAAATGGTATGATGGAAAAAAATGGCTTATATGATTCACAGGCATAAAAACCTATTTCGTGAGAACCCGAAGGGTGGACTTTATGTCGCAGTTCATGAACAGCGTGAACGCTCCTACGAGCATATCGCCGATCATGCACGGCCGTCATCGCCTTTCCTCGTGCAGCAGCCAGCCAAAGCCTCGACCGCATTATTTGCACATGGTGACCAACCCGAGCAGCTATCGAATGAAGGCCAACTCGTTGCCGAGTATTTTAGACTCGGAGAACGACGTCGACAACGCAGACGAGGACGATGACAAAGAAGTCACGAACAAGTCGCCCACCTCGACAGCGAGTTATGGCAAAAAGAAAAGTCGCAGTAAGCCCTGGAAGTATCTGAAACGTCAGAGGACCACCGAGGAGATGTCACCGTTCGATATCGAGGACAGGCGGGCCACGATTGTCGAGGCCAAGAAAGACCTCACCCCTGCTGTCTCAAATTTAGACAACAGTAGCTTGCATGTGAGAGTCAGTTGAGCCTTTCGCTTTAATGTATCTTGAAGATAATTTTCAGCATCATTGCTTTTTTTTTCGCTCTAGATCTCTGCCGATGCCACCGTAGAAATGGATCCCAATCCAATGCCTTCGAGTCCACTGCTTCCTGGACAAGACACATTGAGCCACGCATCTTCGATATGTAGCAGAAAAGATTCCGGCATTCGCAGTAATAGTAGACGTAGCAGTATTCAGCAACAGGTATTTTTTTAAACTTCATTTGGAGTTATTAAAAAAATTAATTTTAACTCTTTTCAAAGTGATTCTTACTACTTTTGTTTAGTTGTTCCTGATGAATGGATTGGCTCAAGGTGATCTCTTGGGACCGAGAGTGAGTGGGTATTACACGTCGAGTTCAACGCTCAACTCCACTCACGAGCCATCATCCTCCGTTCCTCCGTATCCATTTCCACCCGCAGTGACTGACACGTTTGGTGCGTGCTTCCATAAGCTTCGAAAGCAGTCCGATTTACAATTGATTAGGTGAAATTTTGCGCACTTTTTAATTGAAGAGAAAAAAAAAATAATAAATAAATAAATAAATAAATTACAGTATTAACATTTTTTTTCAACAGATGTGTGCAAGATAATGTAACGTCACAGCGCTCGTACTTCGTTAAGCCACCGCTGTCGAGTGTTACACTTTTCTTCAAAAACAAGGAAATGGAAAAAGAGTACCGAGAGAACGCTCACAAGGCCTCGGAGGGTATAGGTGGTAACCCGCCGACCCTCGCCACATCGCGCTTCAACACGTACTTTGATATCCTCGTGTCAGCCATCGTCTTTACAGCCATGGCTGTGTCGTTGTTCCTGCTCTGCGAGCCCACAGCTTATTATTTTATTTCCTTCGGCCTCGCCATTCTCGTGCAAATTTGTGCGGTCATGCTGTGCGTTCGCCAAATATTAAATCCAGAGTAAGCTTTCAAACATTTTTTCAAAGGAATTTATTTTCATGAGACATAGTTTTTCAAAACGTTAAATTTTACAGTGCAATGCAGGTCACTTTTGCCTACCGCATCTTCAAATTCTTCTCAAAGTGGTACCCGTGGCACGTTTGCGGAGCCATCCTCGTCGGTCTGCCCATTGTCTCCATTCTAATGAACTTCACCTGCAGTAGCTTTCGATCGAGCCTCAGCCACTTTGAGTACTACTACAGTTATCTCGTCATAGTAAGTCTTGTGCACTTTTGCAACTTCACCCAGCTGAATTGTTGGATGAAGAATCTGCTCGTTACCCTCGCTGGAATCCTCTTTGTTTGCCTAGTCATCAGTCATGTTACCTATCATAACCAAGAGAGGATTGTCACGCTACAGACAAACATGTCCAAAGAATTAAATGTGAAATTAGGTAAGAATGTCGAGTCACGTTAAAAAAAAAATTATATTATTTTGGTAAGCTCTAAAACGAATAAATTTTTTTCAACCCTCAGTTGGCAACGATTCGTCAAAGATTGACCTTCCACTGCTTTCCATTCCACCATTTGGCTCCAGTCTCCCATCAGCCTCGAACAACTTTAGTATGCACTTGAGAAACTTAAACTCTGCAGACGCTAAATCAGTCAAGTTGAACAAGAGTCGCAAATACAACGAGCGACTCTTCGATTCTGAAATCTACTTGGACTTTGCTCTACTTCTGTTGCTCGTATGGTTTTTGAATCGCGAGTTTGAGATCAGTTACAGACTGAGTTTTCACGGGAATTCAGTTGCCGCGCGCGATAAGAGCCGCGTTCAATCGATGAAAAATCAAGCCGACTGGCTACTCCACAACATCATACCCAAGTATGTGGCTGACCAGCTCAAAACCACTGCCAAGTATTCGCAGAACCACAAGGAGGTAGGAATCATTTTTGCCAGTATTGTCAATTTTAATGAACTGTACGATGAGTCGTATCTCGGAGGGAAGGAATATCTGCGCGTGCTTAATGAACTGATTGGTGATTTTGATGAGTTGTTGGAAAAACCAGAGTTTTCCAACGTGGAGAAGATCAAAACAATCGGTAGTACCTTCATGGCGGCGAGTGGCTTGAATCCTGAGGTATTATTGATACTCCTTATTTTGATTAATGCACTAAAAACGCAATATGATACTATACTTGTATTTTCCTGGCGAAATTTCAGGTCCGACAGAAGAGTGAGCATAAATACACGCACCTCTACCAGTTACTCGAATTCGCCATTGCCATGCATAAAGTCATTTCCGATTTTAATCAAGATTTACTGGGCTTCCAGCTAATTTTGCGCGTTGGCTTTAATTACGGCGACGTGACTGCTGGCGTCATAGGTGCCACCAAGCTTTACTACGACATATGGGGCGACGCCGTCAACATAGCCTCGCGCATGGACTCGACCGGCGTGGCCAGTGAGATTCAATTTGCCAGCAATTGTCTCACGGTCATCTCCGAGAGATACAATTCCGAACCCCGTGGCCAAGTTTACGTCAAGGGCAAGGACAACATGAATGTGTTTTTGCTAAGAGGTAAAAAGGAGCTGCATCAGTGAGGTTTGCCTTCATTTTTCTTTTTGAATGCAGCGGATTTTTTGATTATTTGAATGTCCATAACAATGGCGTTAGTTTCAAAGCGGTCCCAAGTAGATGATGAAAGTTCAACGAAAATTTACGATGCATTTACTGTTCAATTAAGTTTATTCAATGGTTGCACTGTTTAATGTCCATGCTAATTGGTGACTTTTGAAAAGGTTTTAAAAATGTTTCTTGACGAAAACTCGCAACCACGGGTATTATTGACAGTAATTAGATAGATATCATGATAAGTTTGTACAACCAATTGTTGGATTTTCGAGCTTTTGTTTTGGACATTGAATTTATAATCCCCAAAGTCATTAAGATAAACATAAAAAATATGGCCAAAAACTATTTCTCGCTATTAAATATATAATTCAGAGTACGAAACATAAAAGATATTTTATACGAACACTCGTTCGATTGTGATATACGCACGCCTTACTATTGCCCCATTGACTGGAAAAGATGCAAGGAAACGCTTGAACGAAACTATTCAATTTGATATAAATTACCGTATTTTTGTAATTACAAGAAATATTGAATGCCGTAAACATAAAGATGATGGTAATTACTGAACGCAGATAAAAAAAATAAAAAAAATCCAGACGCTTAAATTGTACGTTGCGTTTGCATGTGTACAATTATCGTGACGACGAATGTGTGGTATTATTATTTTCATGTGCTTATATTTTCGAGCGTCGCGTTCACGTAAGTGTCTTGATGGTTAAAATAAGTATTTGCATAGTGTAATTTTGTATGGGTCATGTGTGGAAAGTCATTACGCGAAAAAAATCAATTGTTTTTTATTTTTAGGGTCAATTGGCTTGTTAGGGACAAATTTTAAAATCCACGAGTCATGTTCATAGCTCAATAATAAAACAACACTCGGAAAAGCTCGATCATTGGGGTTCTGAGAGTTTTTAATAGCATTTTGTGTGTGTGTGTGTGTGTGTGTGTGTGATTAGTTGACTCAGACTTGACTGGTTTTGATGGTGCAAGCTTGTACAAATTTCAAATAGAAACATAAAAAATACGAATCCGTGAAATTTTCATAAACATGTCGTTTTACGCGATTGTTACATACAACGGCTTTGTGCCGATTTTTTTTTCTTAATATTTGTACTACAGTGTAACAAATTGGTTATTTTTTAAGAAAAAAAAAAACACTACTTTTTTACATGTGTATATTTCTAAAAGTTTACAGCTTAGAGAAAACAATAACATGTGAGAGCACGTATTGTTGTTAAAGAGGACAATTATTTAAAATTTGAAAAACTTAGTTTTTATTCTTGCCCCGTAAGCTATACGTGTGTGCATCGTATTTGTATAAAACAAAAGTATTGCTTTTCAAATCTTACAGGAACTCGGAAATATTGTCTTCCGTGGCATTGCTACCCTTACATGCAGAGCGGGACAAAAAGTCTTTTTTTTCGAATACACGAATGTTACTGTGAAATTTATTTGAAAACACGTGTATTGAAATTTATGTTAAAACACATCACTAATTGTCCGTCTCTGCTTGTAATATGTATGTACATGTATAAACGTCTAGTATTTTATTTGTTAACTTGAGCTTTCGTGTCGATTAACTAACACCTGAATGATTCAGACTGAATCGCTGGTGTTTTTTTGTAAACCATAACACAATTAGATTATAGTACGAAAAAGTAGGAATACGTAACAACTCGAATTCGTAATAAATAGAGTCTATAGCTAAGAAATATTATTTATACATGCATACAAAAATAATATTTACATGTGTATTACATATGTATGCTGCGACTCTTTGCGCAGTGATTGTAAATTTCTTGACGTGTGTGAATCTCTCGTTAGGTATTACGTTTGTAATTTAATGGTCGGTCCACAATGTGGATCGCACGCTGTACTATGTTACTACATGTACATTGTTGTTGCATTTTGAAATGATCACCTAAATATCTGTCTTTGACAAAAAGATTTTGGGTTATTCAAAAGTGTTTTTTCGCCATCAAATTGTACATTTTTGTTGTTACTGGTGGTTAAAAGTAGGTTATTTAAATCAACTTTCATTATGATTTATTTTTAAATAGCATGTGCAGCGAAAGTAAATACAAATAGATGATTTTTATGCGCAAATCAATTCAGCATCTATTTTCCTTTTTAGTATTCTTATTAAAAGAACGAAACCCTATGAAATCTTGTTATTGCGAATTTGTAACGTTTTATTTGTGTTTTTTATTTAAATTTATTTAGCTGTTACTGATCGGTAAATTTTACATATATACATAAGCCAAGTCGGAAAATTCACCCGATACATAGGTATGGTCGGTTAGGGTTGCTCGAGAAATTTTCACCAGTAGAAAACCTTTCACTAAAAATCAACCGAATAAGACTGTCAATTCACTGGTTTGTGTCTCGCCGGGGTATTACAATTTATAATATATAAACTTAGTAGAATAAGCGTATGATTAAAAATAAAAATAGACGTGGTTTCTTAAGAAATTGTTAAGAAATGTTTTAAACTCTAGAATGGGTGCTAATTCTTTAACGGTTTATTAAAAACGAATAATTGAAAATTTATGCAGTTCTGAGAAAAATTTTTAAACGAAGGGTGTCGGGTAATTTTTTCATAGTGAAAACCATCTTTTACTCAACAAATAGAGAAAATTTGTGGTTCTTGTTCTCTATTTGAAGAGACAATTTTGACATTTTTATTGGTGTCCCTTCATTCCCTAGAACACGCCATAAGAGCCCAAAAATCATATTGAAAAAAATTTTGTTAACAATACGTTATAATCATCCTCTTAGTATGAGATCACATTTTTTGTCAAGCATCGATAGTCATAGAAGAAAAAAAAATAAAAAAAAGAGAATACAAAAGACAGATCTCCAACTGTTAGTGTTATGTGTATGTTCGTAATGAAATATTATTGTATGTGTAATGAATGTTTCAAAAGTAAATAATCAGACGAATAAACAAGAAATGAGATCAAATTAGGGTGAGTAAATAGAACAAAAAAAATAATAATAATAATAAATATAGAAGTGTTTTATGGATTCGTAAAAATCTGACCAGTTAGAAAAATCGAAAGAAAATTCTATCGTTGCGATTCAACAAGTGAAAAATTAATTTTAATGAAAATTGTGAATGAATTAAATTAATGCCGAAAAAAAAGGAATACGCATACATGCAATTGTTACGTACGTATGTGTGTATGTGTAAGCAAAAAGACGAATCCGATCGATAGTTGTAAAACATATACATCCTTTTAATTATGGTTAGATTGTTACCGACGCATTTATAATTATATTTATCCCATTTAGTAATGTTACGTGATGTTTTATGAAAATCATGCCCAATAATAATGATTTCTTTTCGTTACTTTTACTATGCAAATGACTGTACTATATATTATTATATACAACATGAAACGGGGTCAACTTTTGCGTAGATGTGATTGCAAAATAAGTCAATGTGCCTACTCTCGATGTGCAGATTTAGTGTACAAAAAGAACAATAGAGTATTTACATTCTGTAATTTATGTAGATTGAGTAAATTTGTATAAGACATACTAAAAAAATATACGTTGTTATATTTGTTATTTAAAAATCGAATTAACTGATTATATTTCATAATGAATATATTGTACATAAAAATAAATTTACTTTCAAATAATAATCACGGTCATCTCCGAGAGATACAATTCCGAACCCCGTGGCCAAGTTTACGTCAAGGGCAAGGACAACATGAATGTGTTTTTGCTAAGAGGTTTCATGCTCGTGTGAATGCTTAATTTAAAACTCGAGTTTTACATGCACTGCAGTTTATTGCTTTAAGAAGGATGTGCCAATTGAATTACAAACTGTTGCAAGCTTTCGTTGCTCAGTGTTTACTTGTTTCCATTATGCAAAACATTTTATAAATTCTTGATGAATAAATTGTCATAAATAAACGAGGAAGAGAAATGGTATGATGGAAAAAAATGGCTTATATGATTCACAGGCATAAAAACCTATTTCGTGAGAACCCGAAGGGTGGACTTTATGTCGCAGTTCATGAACAGCGTGAACGCTCCTACGAGCATATCGCCGATCATGCACGGCCGTCATCGCCTTTCCTCGTGCAGCAGCCAGCCAAAGCCTCGACCGCATTATTTGCACATGGTGACCAACCCGAGCAGCTATCGAATGAAGGCCAACTCGTTGCCGAGTATTTTAGACTCGGAGAACGACGTCGACAACGCAGACGAGGACGATGACAAAGAAGTCACGAACAAGTCGCCCACCTCGACAGCGAGTTATGGCAAAAAGAAAAGTCGCAGTAAGCCCTGGAAGTATCTGAAACGTCAGAGGACCACCGAGGAGATGTCACCGTTCGATATCGAGGACAGGCGGGCCACGATTGTCGAGGCCAAGAAAGACCTCACCCCTGCTGTCTCAAATTTAGACAACAGTAGCTTGCATGTGAGAGTCAGTTGAGCCTTTCGCTTTAATGTATCTTGAAGATAATTTTCAGCATCATTGCTTTTTTTTTCGCTCTAGATCTCTGCCGATGCCACCGTAGAAATGGATCCCAATCCAATGCCTTCGAGTCCACTGCTTCCTGGACAAGACACATTGAGCCACGCATCTTCGATATGTAGCAGAAAAGATTCCGGCATTCGCAGTAATAGTAGACGTAGCAGTATTCAGCAACAGGTATTTTTTTAAACTTCATTTGGAGTTATTAAAAAAATTAATTTTAACTCTTTTCAAAGTGATTCTTACTACTTTTGTTTAGTTGTTCCTGATGAATGGATTGGCTCAAGGTGATCTCTTGGGACCGAGAGTGAGTGGGTATTACACGTCGAGTTCAACGCTCAACTCCACTCACGAGCCATCATCCTCCGTTCCTCCGTATCCATTTCCACCCGCAGTGACTGACACGTTTGGTGCGTGCTTCCATAAGCTTCGAAAGCAGTCCGATTTACAATTGATTAGGTGAAATTTTGCGCACTTTTTAATTGAAGAGAAAAAAAAAATAATAAATAAATAAATAAAAAATAATTGCTCGAGATTCGTATGAGGTACGATTGGTGTGATGAGCACGTAAGTACACGAGTGTACGGTTACGTGTACTTGAGCCGCATGACGAATTAGCATGGGCGTACAGCTGAAAAGCAGAAACAGTGTGTGGTCTGGCCAAAATCCAGAGAGCGCAGAGTTATTTTGGACGCGTAGGTACTCGAGCAGCAGAGAGAGGAAGAGAGCCCACACTGTTGCACAATGCAACATATCATACATCAGACACGGAGTGCTTCGAGAGCCACGAGCGACGAAGCTGCTCAAGTTGAATGGCGGGGTATAGGGAAAAAAAGAAAGCAACTTTTTGATTAGCGCACGCGAAAAATAATAAACCCATCGGGGGATAGAGAGAGAGAGAGTGCACACGANAAAAAAAAAAAAAAAAATCTTATGCAGGTTTTTCTGAAGAATAGCTCAAAATGGAGCTGAATACTTACCTAGTATTTTTTCAGCTAAATTAGAACGAATAACTGGACCCAATTGATGGGGATCACCGGCTAGAATTACTTGTCCTCGTATTCGTCTATCATTCGAGATCAACAGAGAGATGGGAATCATAGTTTCTGGCTCTGTTGCTTGGCCAGCTTCATCGATGAAGACACAGTTGAAGAAACCATCTTCAAGTTTTAAAAATCGTAACCTTGAAAATATCTCATCAATATGACGGTGTTTAACACTGTTAAAAGCCATGAAAAAAAAAAAAAATCAAGGTACCTTATACTCGTGCACAATGTAGTGATGACGATTTTTGGCAAATCTATTGCAGATAGCACCACAAACTCTCCATTTATGTAATTACTACAGCCTAAAATATCACTGTCGATAGTTCGTCTACAAAGAAAAAAAAATGTCATTAATCGGTTTTAAATAATATTCAGATCTTTAGACTTACGGGTCGATTTGAAAGCCGTACATGCGATGTAAATCTTCCTTAGGCACATATTTAAGCAACTGTTTCATTATAACATCACTGGCCTCATTAGATGGAGTGCAAACAAGAATGTGTCCGCTAGAACTGTTGTGCCTAGACTATTATTAATATTTTATGATATATGTTAAGTGATTGACTATAGTCCAAAGAACGTTTCTTACTTGACAAATAGCCTCAACCAAGGTGACAGTTTTCCCTGTTCCTGGTGGTCCGTACAGTATGTAAGGTAAGTCACCTGTTCTACTCAAAATGTTAATTACTGCCTGCCGTTGCTCTGGATTTTCCATGACGGATTTGTTGTACCATTTTAAACTGAGAGTTTGTGTATGCACCAAGGAGTAAAAGACCAAGTTTTAATGTTTTGTTGTTGAAAAATTTTTTTTATTAATGTTTTTATGAAAAAAATTATAATGCCCTTACTTTACATTTACTTGACTGTTAGAAATATCATGATTTGCCATTGGAAAAAAATAAGGAGTTATTTTAAATGTGCGCATTATTTTTAAAGCGTAGTGACAGCAACGAAATGTGAAGGGATTCAACTTGAACTGAATGTCGTATAAATTATTGGCTTCATACTCCATATAAAAACTGAAATTTCAAGACTTAAGTTTCTGTAGTATCTTTAATGAAAAAATAAACAAGTGTATATGATTAACCTTTTGTTTTGATCATGTGGAATGCCAAACACGTATTCATCTGATATTTCCTTGATGATAAAGTCATAAGAACACCTTGTTTTGACGTCTGTGACCTTTGCCCTTATATGTTCGATGTTTTGTTCTCTTTCTGTGATGAACTGTGTGGCACGGAACTTGAAAGGTACCATGATGTTGTCGCAAATACTGATGGTTTGATTTTGCAGATAATTCGACTCTTTCATCAATTCCTCCACAAATAGAGCGATTTCGAGATATTTAAAATAATTAGATTCATTTAACTCAATATGGTCACATTTCCACATTTTTGTTACATAGTGTAAATAATACAAATGGTCTTTTGTCATTTTCGGCCATGAGTGCCCATTATTATCCATTAAATCTCGTAGAGCATGTGGAATTTTTTTGTCACTAAATCCATATAATTTGCAATTTAAAGCCATTAAAATTTTTTAATTGATCACTGCTCAAAAATAAGACTGGTTTCTTAAAAAAAAGTCTAGATCCAAGATTGCAGGCAACGAAAATTTTGAAAATTTATTGATTATTTTATTTAAATTTTTTAACGGCATACATACCTTATTTTATCCATACTCGACAATTTAATATTCTTTGTACAACAAAAATTATTAAAAATATAGTAAGATGTCAAGTACAAACTTCTGAAATAATATACATATCAAAATTTAAGTATAATGAAATCACCAATAAATAGATTATTAGGCAAAACGAATCAGTCTAGCGTGAAATCGCTGCTTATATCTATACAGTACTCTGTTCTTTTTCGCTTTTTTGACGTATTATTTTTCAGCGTGTACGAATCAACGCAATAAGTTCCTGCTTCACGGCAGTAATTCGAAAGATACCTCCAGTTTTCGTTGGTTTTATTGACTTTAAAAACACTTGGATGACTGATAATGATGAGCAAAGATTTGGATCGCGTAATGGCTACATTAAAACGCTTAGAACTCGACAACAGTCCGATGTGAGATTGCCCATCGTTTGTAAACACTTGACTTCTGACGGTCGATAAAATGATGACTTCTTTCTCCTTCCCTTGAAACATCTCTACAGTGCCGACATCGACTTGGTCAAACTTGTTGTGACCAAGCATTGCTTTTAATTTCCATTTTTGGGCAGTAAAAGGTGTGACGACGCCGATGTCTTTTTGCCCGATTGTCTTCTCTCCAAACTGGGCCCCGACTAGTTTCTGCACATAATCCAGAACAACGTACATCTCGGCTTTGTTGTAGGAGCTGCATAACAATCGTGTGTTAATTCCAAAATATTTGTAATAGTTGTGATAAGTGCCATCGTCTCTGAGGCTATTCGTAAGGTAGCTGGAGCGATGGCACTTATGTGGCGAATCCTATTTTTCCTACCGAGGGTACACCCGACCCTAAAACGACCAAAGTCGGAAAAAGTACTTTTTCTACCTCGGGCGTTTGACTGGTGTGCCCTCGATAGGAAAAATAGGATTCGCCACATATGTGCCATCGCTCCACGGCTACTTTACGTCCCTCAGGTCGTAAAATAGCCCCAGAGACGATGACACTTATCCGATGAAAACTAATATTAGTACCTCGAAAGGGAAACGTTCCGAGTCTCTTCTCCTCTGACTTCCATAAGGATGATTGGAACCTTTGGATTCGGCAGTTCTGCCCATCCCTCGGCTATGTGAACAGAACGTCCGGCACACGGCATCAATTCGTCGTCATAGAATAATTTGTTGGGGACATTAACGAGGGAAGGATGGCTTCTGTAATTTCTGAGCAACTTTGTTATGTACATGGGGTTGTACTGATTCGTTTCATTTTTTTTGTATGGCAAGAGCTCCGTGAATCTCTCCAGCATAGATTTTCCTGACAGAGAATATATTTTATTAATAAAAAAAAAAAAAATCTTATGCAGGTTTTTCTGAAGAATAGCTCAAAATGGAGCTGAATACTTACCTAGTATTTTTTCAGCTAAATTAGAACGAATAACTGGACCCAATTGATGGGGATCACCGGCTAGAATTACTTGTCCTCGTATTCGTCTATCATTCGAGATCAACAGAGAGATGGGAATCATAGTTTCTGGCTCTGTTGCTTGGCCAGCTTCATCGATGAAGACACAGTTGAAGAAACCATCTTCAAGTTTTAAAAATCGTAACCTTGAAAATATCTCATCAATATGACGGTGTTTAACACTGTTAAAAGCCATGAAAAAAAAAAAAAATCAAGGTACCTTATACTCGTGCACAATGTAGTGATGACGATTTTTGGCAAATCTATTGCAGATAGCACCACAAACTCTCCATTTATGTAATTACTACAGCCTAAAATATCACTGTCGATAGTTCGTCTACAAAGAAAAAAAAATGTCATTAATCGGTTTTAAATAATATTCAGATCTTTAGACTTACGGGTCGATTTGAAAGCCGTACATGCGATGTAAATCTTCCTTAGGCACATATTTAAGCAACTGTTTCATTATAACATCACTGGCCTCATTAGATGGAGTGCAAACAAGAATGTGTCCGCTAGAACTGTTGTGCCTAGACTATTATTAATATTTTATGATATATGTTAAGTGATTGACTATAGTCCAAAGAACGTTTCTTACTTGACAAATAGCCTCAACCAAGGTGACAGTTTTCCCTGTTCCTGGTGGTCCGTACAGTATGTAAGGTAAGTCACCTGTTCTACTCAAAATGTTAATTACTGCCTGCCGTTGCTCTGGATTTTCCATGACGGATTTGTTGTACCATTTTAAACTGAGAGTTTGTGTATGCACCAAGGAGTAAAAGACCAAGTTTTAATGTTTTGTTGTTGAAAAATTTTTTTTATTAATGTTTTTATGAAAAAAATTATAATGCCCTTACTTTACATTTACTTGACTGTTAGAAATATCATGATTTGCCATTGGAAAAAAATAAGGAGTTATTTTAAATGTGCGCATTATTTTTAAAGCGTAGTGACAGCAACGAAATGTGAAGGGATTCAACTTGAACTGAATGTCGTATAAATTATTGGCTTCATACTCCATATAAAAACTGAAATTTCAAGACTTAAGTTTCTGTAGTATCTTTAATGAAAAAATAAACAAGTGTATATGATTAACCTTTTGTTTTGATCATGTGGAATGCCAAACACGTATTCATCTGATATTTCCTTGATGATAAAGTCATAAGAACACCTTGTTTTGACGTCTGTGACCTTTGCCCTTATATGTTCGATGTTTTGTTCTCTTTCTGTGATGAACTGTGTGGCACGGAACTTGAAAGGTACCATGATGTTGTCGCAAATACTGATGGTTTGATTTTGCAGATAATTCGACTCTTTCATCAATTCCT